GTGTAGCGGTTAGCCCGCATAAGCGGGATTATATACACATCACATGCGAGCAACTACTTTTTGAGATAGAACCCGTGTGCATGGCGCATTCCGAAATCAAGCTTTCTGAAAAAATAACAGCACCATCTTGTAGCGCTTGAAGAGCTGAGTTCAACGGTGTTTTTCCGTTTCTGGAATACTTCACTCTGAGCCGACTTATAACGAATTCACGAAATTAACGAGGATTCGCGTTATTCGCGTGAATTTTCGATTTCAAACGGCGAGTACTGTATATATATCCATATTATTATTCAACTACATCATAATGCCAAACTCGTAAATAACCTACTCCGCGGCGACAAACCGAACACCGCGAAAGATCGACGACAGTGAACGCCGATCTTATAGAACAAATAACAGCACTACCAAGGTCAAAATGGCATGCCTGAACAGTTAGATTTAATGATTCTACCACCATTTCAAGAAAAAGATGAGTGGCTTAAAGAATTTCGGTTCTTTTTCTAGTGATTCCATGGGCGCTGACGTGGTAAATACGAGTAACGCCAAACGAAGGCGAATTCCCATTCCCGCCAACCGTATGTAGATTGAAATTTTCACGAAAGACCGGCTGGCAACATGAGGCTTTATCGGCCAAAGCACCGGCAAATATTTTCACTCCAAACGTTACTATCTGAACAGTAGATTATTGGGGTAATGACTCTGCTGCGCCACGCCTTGATTTCTGTTCTAACCTCTTCATCATCGGACGGGAGTGGCAACGTTACGAAGCCATGAAGTGGATAGGTAACCGATTTTAGTGCGTGTTCCAAGGTAGAATTCACATCAAATTGGTTGAACGCTGGAAGTGAAAGTTGAGGAGGTAGTGGTGTAGTGGTGAAGCGTAAACGCCGAAACAATCCCAAAACCCTCCAGTAAGAACCCCTTGTCGGCGTTGCTACTGCGCGGAGGGCGTCCCTCATCGCTTGTCACGCCATCATACCAAGTCTCTCCTAATCTGCAAAAATTCTAAGAGGTTGACGGCGAACATCAGCATTCGGGCAGTCCATTAGAGCGCGCCAGAGCATTAAAAGCCGCAAAGAGATGGGAAGCCGCAAGTAAGGGGGGTGGCGGGGCCGGTGAACTCAGTCCAGGTGGCGCGTTCTACTAAAACCCACTTCCGTCGCTCGAAGCAAATCCCCTCCTCAATACTGCGGTTTCAATTTCTAACTCAATTAATCAATTTTATCAAATTTATGACCATCCTGCCAGAAAGCAAGTGCCCTCTACAGACGTACCCATTATCATTAGCCATCTTCATGTTCACAGCTATCACGCCTGCGCCAACTGTCATCGTAGCACATCTCCCTTAATTCAGTAACATTTTTTATAACAAACCCAAACAAACCTTAACATAATGTCAATGATATTCGAAATGAAATGTACTCTTACTGGGTACGCGCTGAAAGCAAACCGAAAACCCATGACGCTTATACTGAAAGGTGCCTCCATAATCGACATATTGATTGCTATCGATTACCTTGTTGAGATATGTCGGAGAGAATTGCATCACCTGTATACCCATAAAATTGGCGATAGCCGAGGTCCATACGGCAATAATAGCGTTCGAAGTAAGAATTGCCTAAATCAGATTCCTCAGCCGGTTGATTATCGGGTTATTGACCAAAATCCCTGCTATCGGTCCCAAACCAACAATGCATCGGTTAGGCAAGGTAGTTGCACAGTCTAAACGATTACCGCGTTTTTTTCACTAGTTGGTTAACTTTTTTTCTTGATTCCGGTAAACCAAGAGCAATTATAATAATATTGATTAACAGAAATAGCAATTTTATCAGTGCCATTGAACCCTTTGGCTACTGCTGGTACACATGTGTACCACTTCCGTAGTCAAAGCACTACAACAGTTTCTGAGACTTATTGTGACGGGAGCGAACGCTTGATGGCGTAATTGTGCACGAATGGGATCTTATGATTCCTACTCATGAAACAAATCGTCATAATTCAAGGCGAGTTACCCTGAATGAGTTACCAAAGCAAGTCGTACCGAAGGGCACTGGCCAGCTCCCAGAAAGTAAATCTCATGCTTCGTACACTTTCAGTACTGAAAATAAGTAAATTGTAACTAAATTGCCGATTCATATTTCTAAAATATCCACTCGGGCGGAGATGGTGTGGTGACTAGTTGGCCCCCTACCTCGAGCATAGTCCCTGGATCAAATCCAAGGCCAGACGGAGCGTATGTGAGCCAATTTTTTGCAAATGAACAATGGACAACAAGCTACTGACTAAAAAGTTCGGTCAAGCCCGCCCTATAGAGAGAAACCATTCCATTAATTCCTGGTAAATCTCCACCTAATTTTCAATTTTAACCGCGTACCGACGATGAAAGCACACCAATCATTATTTACTATTTTAATGATAACAAGTCACATACGGTAACAGATAGAACAGAAATTGCAAGAACAACAACGTTATTACACACCAGTTTGGCTGCGCACGCATTCGCGTGCATGAGACGGGGCTGCAGCGGTAAAATCGGGCCCATCAGTATTTTTGTCTTGATTTTAGCTTTCTGCTCGGTACATCTTACTTACGCCGCAAACTCCGCCCACATCCGGGTGTGCCACGCCCAGCGTTCACATTCAACCTCTACTCCTACTTTCACCTCAGGCATATTTTTCAGGTCTCTAAGTCATCCTCCGACGATTACTATCCTGAAAAGCGTAGCTCATAAAATTCTGCGGCAAACCCCCGCCCACTGGCCATGGTTAGCCCACAATGGCATTCAACCCTACTCCCATACCTCAATACTTATGCACATTTTCCCCGGTCGCCGGAACTTCTAGGAACCGAGTTATGAGAGCGGTGGCAAACTCCGCCCACATCCGGGTGTGCCACGCCCAGCGTTCACATTCAACCTCTACTCCTACTTTCACCTCTGGCGTATTTTTTTCAGGTCTCTAAGTCATCTCGGAGCCGAATTATGAGGTCTTGTAGGGGACGAAATCGAGCAACGTATCGTTGTGGTAAACCCCGCCCACTTCGTTACATGCCTCGCTCACCGATACCAAATGACTATCATCTCTTCCCCAACCTCATTCTACTATTTTCCCATCTCCGGAACTTATTGGATTATGAAGTACCGTGGCAAACTCCGCCCACTTTAATGCATGCTCCACCTGCCCACAGCACTTGACCCCCTTCCCTCTGCCAACACTTATACGCTTTTCCCCACACCCCGGGACTCATAGGAACCGAGTTATGAGGCTGGTTGCAAACTCCGCCCACTTTGGTGTAAGCTACGCCCAGCCTTGACATTTAGCTTCTCCTCTTCTCCTAACCTGTATCCACTGTTTCAGTCCAAGTCATCTCCAAGCCGATATGACTCTGAGAAACCTCCTACTTCAGGGGAACGCCCGCCCATTGTGGCGTGACCTCCGTTCACATCCCATTGTCTGAAAACCTTAGACATCGGCTGCCTCACCATAATTTTCTGCTCTGTAGGCTTCCTCCTAACCTAGTTATTGATATTTTTATTGAGCACCGCTTTTCCAGAGAACGCCCCGCCCACCGAGGGTGGGTCTCCCCAATGCAATCTGGCTTACCGACGCACATTTATAACCACTTTTTGTTCCAGTCTCGAGGCTGTTTTTGACTGTATTTGGAATCAACCGATGCACGCCACGCCCACTGTGGGCGGGGCTCCGCTTGGCTGATGTGTTTTTTACTTCCAGAAAGTTACCCATCTCAAACTTGGACACTACTCTAAAGTGCCGTTCGCATTGATACCGCGAATTTCTGACAGACGGACAGACAGACATAGCGCATTATATATAGTAGGGATTGGAATGAGCGCCTTCAGTGTTGATGCTTGAACAAGGGCTTCCTAGTAACTCATTTTTCTTGCTGTGTAAGTAGGTATCGTCGGGTAGGTTAACGCTTTTAAGAAACTGTTTTGTAGATCGACTTCTAAGTGTGTTCATTAGAGTGGCTTTCCTTTCGCAAGTCCAATAAATATCAGTTAATGTCGTGAGTGAAGGCTAGTGTTCTCTCTCATATGAAACAGCTGGTCCCCGGCAACCACCGGGACCTCCTTACCTGCGTAAGCTTTACTCCTTCCAATGTGCTCCCATCCACTGGTGACATGGACACCTCGTGGAGGTGGCACGCATGCACAAAAAAGTGTCTTATATAGTAGAAGGCATTACCGTAATCGTGACATGACCTTAGAATGATATTAATTGGACCTCAGGTCTTTTGGCGGTTAGCTCCCCTCGCCCTTCTCCATCTTATCCTATTCCCTCTACTGCTCTCAACTAGCTGCTATTGCAG